TATTTTTGAGTATAAATGATGAGTCTAAAATAGTATGTTATTGTTTCAATTAGTATTTCTCCAATTACTGATGAAATTGAGCATCTCCTCATATGTTAGCCATTCCAGTCTTACAATCACTGTTAGGAGTTTCTTGTTTGACCTTTAAGATACAGATTAGACATTTGCAAACATATTTCCATATCTGTTTTTAAAAAAATAAATGTACTTGTCAGTGTATATTGCCTTTTAAGTGCTGCTCTATCTGGGTCCCACAGATTTTGATATGTATGGTTTTTATTATCATTTATTATTATTTTTTAAAGATTTTATTTATTTGGCAGACAGAAATCTCAAGTTGGGGGAGAGGCAGGCAGAGAGAGAGAGGAGGAGGAAGCAGAGAGCCCGATGAAGGGCTCTATCCCAGGACCCTGGGATCATGACCTGAGCTGAAGGCAGAGGCTTTAACCCACTGAGCCGCCCAGGCACCCCTATTATCATTTAGTATTTATATATACATATATATATATATTTTTTTTAAGATTTTATTTATTTATTTGATAGACAGAGATTACAAGTAGGCAGAGAAGCAGGCAGAGAGAGAGGAGGAAGCAGGCTCCCTGCTGAGCAGAGAGCCTGATGTGGGGCTCGATCCCAGGACTCTGAGATCATGACCTGAGCCGAAGGCAAAGGCTTAACCCACTCAGCCACCCAGGCGCCCCTATTTAGTATTTGATATTTTAAGAATTCTCTTTAACTCTAGGATAATGAAGTAATATTTTTTTGTTTCCAGTCATGCAGGATTTTTTATTAGTGTTATATTTTGTTACTGATTCTAATTCATGTAATTTAATTAGAGAACATAACCTGAATAATACTCATACTTTGGAATTTTTTTGAGACTCCCTTTGTGATGAGGTACCTAGTAGATTTATGTGGCCATTTTTTTTTTAAGTACTCTACACTCAATATGGGGCTTGAACACACAGCCCCAAGATCAAGAGTTGCCATGTTCTACCAAGTGAGCCAGCCAGGTGCCCCTTTGTGGCTGTCTTGTATATACTTGAAAATAATGCATTCTTTTTGCATTGCAATTGTTTGAAATTGCAATTGAAAAATTGTTTGCATTGAATTGTTCCTTGTAACTTTCATTATTTTTTTCTGCTTGAACTAGGAGTTGCTTTTGAGTATCAAAATTGCCAACTCCAGTTATTGATTATCTGATTCTTACCATAATCCTGTCAGTTGTTGCTTGTGTTTGGAGACTTTGTTTGAGATAATGTATATTTCATGATGAGTATATATGATTGATCATTATTTGCAGGTTCTGTGTTTGCATATATGCCTTCTTGCTAAAATTTATTTGTAGTCCCAAAATCAATACACATAGTGATTTTGAGGTCCTAGGCCCTCTCAGGAGGAGCTGGGAAATAGATATAAACAGACTAACCTGCACATATACCCACATTTTTATTTGTTTCTATATCTATCTGTATATACCCTAAAAAGTAAATTTTGATTCCAGTCCAACATCACAAGATTCAGTCTAGTCTTCTTCCTTTCCTATTCCATTACCTACAATATATTCACTTGTCTGTTCAATCCTAGTATACCCATAAAATAAGTATATAAAGCCAATTCATGCTGTGAAAATAGATTTACTAACTAGAGCTACAGTGTTGGTGTGTATTTCTCTATGTCTTTAGCCTTGCAGTATGCAGACAAAATGCTGTTTTTTCAAAGTTACTTTGGTTAGTTCTTTTTTTTCCCATACCCTTCTTTGTTGCTTTATCTATTTATAATACAGTTAGGTTTATTACTGTTTGTATTCTGTTTGGGGTTTTCTTTCACATGCTCATGGTTTAATTATTTATTTTGGGGGGGGACATGTGTAAAACATTACTGTTGTTCTAGAAGTCAAAGCTATCCAAAGTGTTATCCTTTGAGAAGCCTTGTTCCCTCCTCAGTGCTCTTAAACTCTTCCCAGTGCCCCCTTTCTTCCACTCCTTTCCTCTGTGCCCACTATAGATAACTTCAGTTTCTGATTTACCCTTCCTGTATTTCTTCTGCACAAATGAGTAAATACATGTGTATTTCTTAAAAAAAAAAAAAGTTTGTTTTTTTTTTTTAAGATTTTATGTATTTATTTGATAGAGAGAGACACAGAGAGAGGGAACACAAGCAGAGGGAGTGGGAGAGGGAGAAGCAGGCTTCCCGCTGAGCAGGGAGCCCAATGTGGGGCTCGATCCCAGGATCCTGGGATTATGACCTAGGCCGAAGGCAGATGCTTAATGACTAAGCCACCCAGGCACCCCAATACATGTATATTTCTTATATTTCTTCTTTATTACAGAAACGGTAGCATACTTTTTGCACTTTGCTTTTTTCACTTCACAGTGTATTTTGGAAATTGTTCCAAATCAGTTTATAGAGAGATCTTTCTGTCTGGTTTTTTTGTTTGTTTTGTTTTGTTTTGTTTTTTGTTTTTTTTTTCCGTAGCTTCATGGTACTTTCTTGTGTGAGTGTGTCATAATTTGCTCAGCCTTCTGCCCTATGTATGGTCATTTAGGTTGTTTTCAAAATTTTGCTGTATTATAAGGAATACTGCAACTTTGTGCATATGTATTTTCTTATTGTTGGAGGTGTATCTTCAGGGTAGGTTAACAGTTAAATGAATATTTAGTTTTATCAGTTTTTGCCAATTATTTATTTGAGAGGGAGAGAGAGAAAGCACAAGCAGGAGGAGAGGCAGAGGGAGAGGGACAAGCAGACTCCCTGCTGAGCGGGAAGCCTCATGTGGGGATTGATTCCAGGACCTGGAGATCATGACCTGAGCTGAAGGCAGACACACTTAACCGACTTGAGCCACCCACGCACTCCTCACTATTTTTTCTTATAGAACTTAAATGGTTTCATATTGATAGCATTAGCTCCCTTGTTCATTTTTCATTTATTATATATTATGTAGATTATGGTTCTAATTTCTTTGAAATGGCACCAGTTGTCCCAGAGACATTTATTAAGAAGTCCATCATTAGGGGGACCTAGTGGCTTAGTCAGTTAAACATCTGACTTCAGCTCTGGTCATGATCTCAGGGTCATGGGATCGTAAGATCAGGTTCTATGAGGAGCCCTACACTGCGCTTCCTGCTTGTGCGCACGTGTGTACTTTTTCTCTCTCAAATAAATAAATAAAATCTTAAAAAAAAAAAAAAGGAAGTCCATCATTACTCCTAGTGATCTAGGATTATACCAAAATTCTGTACATACTTGAATTAATTTCTGGACTATTTTATTGCATTTTATTTACCTATATATGTTCCAGTACCACTGTTTTAATTATAGAAGCTTTATAGTATCTTTTAATGTCAAATAGACTAGTTCCCCTTCCCATGTAGTTCTCTTTTTTCGATGTTTTTTTCTTGGCTGTTTCCTGGCTGTTCTTGAATGTTCATTTTTCCATAGAAATTTTAGTATCACCTTGTCTAACTCCATAAAATAGCTTGTTGGTATTTTTATTGGAATTGCAGTAATTTTTTAAATTAGGAGGAGCTAATGCTCATCCTATCCAAGAACAAGGAGTATTTTTCTATTTGTTCTTGCCTATTTTTGTGTTTTTCAGGAGGATTTTAAGTTTTTCTTGGTATTAATTTTGCACATTTCTTACTAAATTTATTCCTATATGCTTAATCTTGAATTCCTATATGCTTAATCTTTGCTCTATTGTAGATGGCGTTTTCTCTACCGTGTGTCCTATTTATTGTGTATATGAAGGCTGTTGATTTTGTATATTAATTTTATATCCTGCCTTATTGCTGAGTTCTTGTATTATTTGAGTTAGGTTTTTTTTTTTTTTAAGATTTTTATTTATTTATTTTGAGACAGAGAGAGAGACAGCATGAGAGAGAGCATGAGAGGGGAGGTCAGAGGGAAAAGCAGACTCCCCATGGAGCTGGGAGCCTGATGTGGGACTCGATCCCAGGACACTCTGGGACCATGACCCGAGCTGAAGGCAGTTGCTTAACCAACTGAGCCACCCAGTTGCCCTGTTTGAGTTAGTTTTATGATTGATCTTTTCCTAGGGTTTTTCAGATACACTATTATTTTTTTTAAATTTTTTAAATAATTTTTTTTATAAACATATAATGTATTATTAGCCCCAGTGGTACAGGTCTGTGAATTGCCAGATTTACATACTTCACAGCACTTACCATCACACATATCCTCCCCAATGTCCATAACCCCACCACCCTCTCCCAACCCCCTTCCCCCCGGCAACCCTCAGTTAGTTGTGTGACTTTAAGAGTCTCTTATGGTTTGTCTCCCTCCTGATCGCATCATGTTTCATTTATTCTTCTCCTACCCCCAAACCCCCCATGTTACATCTCCACTTCCTCACATCAGGGAGATCATATGATAGTTGTCTTTCTCCAATTGACTTATTATGCTAAGCATAATACCCTCTAGTTCCATCCACGTCGTTGCAAATGGCAAGATTTCATTTCTTTTGATGGCTGTATAGTATTCCATTGTCAGATATACTATTACTATATCATCTTCAAATAGAGGGGTTTTTTTACCCATTCTTAAACCTCTAATTAATTTCTCTTGTCTAATTCAATTAGCTAATACCTCTAGTATAGTGTTGAATAGTAGCAGAAGATAGTGGATATCCTTGCCTCATTCCTTATTTTGGTGGAAATGTCTCTGGTGTTTCTTCATTAAATAAAATACAGATTTTAGGACATAGGGGTGTGTGTATGTATGTGAATGGCTTTGTCACAGAGTTCTAGATATTTGGATAGAACATTGGAATAGAAATTAAGGAGAAGTATGTATGGAGCCTACTTACTAGATTAGGGCAATAGCATGTCACATTCAAAAAGCTTGAAGTTTTCATGTTTCAATTTGGGAATAGCAATGAGCTATACCATTATAGCAAGTCATTTGAATTCCTATAAATTGTCTTTATGTGTTATCATGGTCATGTATAAAAATTTATCCTTATATTTGTCTTACAGTGTGTGCTGTTTTTATGGAGTTTAAAAATTAATCATCCCAAAACAGTGTTTCTGCTTCGAGGAAATCATGAATGCAGGCATCTTACAGAGTATTTCACCTTCAAACAGGAATGTAAGTATAATCACTTTTCCAGAACTTTTTTTTTTTCTTAAAGTAAACTCTACTCCTAATGTGGGGCTTGAACTCACAGCTCCGAGATCAAGAGTCACTAGCTCTACTGACTGAGCCAGCCAGGCACTTCCATAACTTTTTTAGTTCCCCTGTTCTCAGTCCCAAAATGAACCAAACATGCAGAAAAGAAACTAATGGAACTCAAATGTGTCCTGGTTTTCATTTTCTGGTCAGAACCAAGATTCTACCTTAAAATGTTTATCTTGAAAATAACTTGTAGTTTCACCCTATGTATATTAAAGTAATACATTTGAGGTATTTGGAAAACATAGAAAAGTCCAAAGAAGATAAAAATTGTGCATAGTTATACCACTTAAATATAATAACTATTATCTCACTATTTGAGAGATAGTCTTCTTTTCTGCATATATAAAAGCCTATCATGAAATAGTTCAAATGCATATATATCTGTACATATTTTCAAAATAAAATTGGGCTACTATATGCACTGATTAATAAATTGCTCTTTTCACTTTATGTAAGAAATTTTTTCTGTACCACTCACTATTTTTGAACATGATTTTAAAATGTTATTTTAATATTTTTAAAGTATCCCATCTTATGAATGCACTTATCATGTAGCCAATTTAGTAATAACTATATGACATTTCTATCATTTCCAACTATAAATAATACTGTAATAGTTAAAAAGTTTATTATTAAAGGTAGAATTTTTGAAAGTCAAAATGTTGCTAGCTGTTTGAAAAAAAACAAACAAAAACCTCACAGATTTCTTTGACCAGAATCTAGGTACTCACAACTGGCTTTTACTTAACATTCAATGTGATGGTAATATATTGGGCTGGTTTGAAAGAATTTACCCCAGGGCATTTGCAGTTACTGTTTCCCAGATAGCTATCTGTTCATTCATGTCATCTAAGAGACTTTCTTCCCTGGTTGCTTTTTCTAAGTTAAATATCTCATCATTTTACTCTCATGCCCTGCTTTTTAAAAAAACTAGTATCTATCAATACCTGAAATTTTTATATATTTTTATATAAAATTTATATTTTATTTCATTTTATTTTTTTAAGATTTTTATTTATTTATTTGAGAGTGACAGAGAGAGCACAAGCAGGGGGAGAGGCAGAGGGAGAAGGAGGCTCTCTGAGCAGGGAGACCGATGCGGGACTAGATTTCAGGACCCTGGGATCATGACCTGAGCCGATGCTTAACCGACTGAGCCACCCGGGCACCCTAAAATTTATATTTTAAAAATACATTTATTATTTTTTCTCTCCCCCCATAATTTAAGTTCCATGACAGCGGGGACATGTTTTATCCACTGTTGTTTTTCTAGAACAGTATCTAATAACTCATAGGAGATAGCTTAGAAATATTGGTTGAATGAATGATCATCTAGGATTTGTACTTTGGCACAAATTCTCAGAAGACAATTATTAGACCACAGGGCGTGAATATTTTAAAGACTTTGGTTACATACTCTAACTAGCCCTCTAAAAATATTATGTATCAATTCATACTTTAAGGAATTTTTGTATTTTTATATGAAGTGAAAGGAAAGTATTGAATTAAAACCCACAAGATTTCAGGGACGCCTGGGTGGCTCAGTTGGTTAAGCGGCTGCCTTCGGCTCAGGTCATGATCCCAGTGTCCTGGGATCGAGTCCCACATCAGGCTCCTTGCTCGGCAGGGAACCTGCTTCTCCCTCTGCCTCTGCCTGCCTCTCTGTCTGCCTGTGCTCACTTGCTCTCTTTCCCTCTGTCCCTGACAAATAAATAAATAAAATCTTTAAAAAAAAAAAAAACAAACCCACAAGATTTTAACCCTTTTAATTTCTAAAATGTTAGTATATTCCTTTTTTTTTTAAGTTTTTTTTTTATTTATTTGACAGAGAGAGACACAGTGAGAGAAGGAACACAAACAGGGTGAGTGGGAGAGGGAGAAGCAGGCCTCCCGCTGAGCAGGGAGCTTGATGCGGGGCTCGATCTCAGGACCCTGGGATCACGACCTAAGCCAAAGGCAGATGCTTAATGACCTGAGCTGCCCAGGCACCCCTAGCATATTTTTTTTTTAAAGATTTTATTTATTTATTTGTCAGAGAGAGAGAGAGCACAAGCAGGGGGAGTGGCAGGCCGAGGGAGAAGCAGACTTCCTGCTGAGTAGGGAGACTGATGTGTGACTTGATCCCAGAACCCTAGAACCATGATCTGAATTGAAGGCAGATGCTTAGCAGACTGAACCACCCAGGCGTCCTGCCCCTAGCATATTCTTTATAAAATAAGGAAGCTGAACAAAATTCCTGGGTGGCTCAGTCGGTTAAGAGTCTGCCTTTGGCTCAGGTCATGATCCCTGGGTCCTGGGATCGAGTCCAATATTGGGCTCTCTGCTCAGTGGGGAGCCTGCTTCTCCTTCTCCCTCTTCTGCTCCCTGTGCTTATGCTTTCTCTTGCTATACCCTGTTCTCTAGCAAATAAATAAAATCTTTTAAAAAAATAAGTAAATAAATGAAGTCTTGAGTATTGTTTGACTCTAAAATCTACCTCTTTCCCCACATAATACTGAATATATACAAATGCTTTAATGTCATAATGATGGTTTGAGCATGGATTTTACTTTGTGTCCTATTCAGATTTCTCCTCAGATTATTATCTTGGAGGAATATAACATAAAATATTTAAAGTTTTTTTCCCAAAAGAATATTCAAAGTTGAAAAAAACAACTTTGAAATTTGTTTTCTGAGGCTCAAGAGTTTATCCAGTCCTTCTCCCCAAATCCCTTTACTTATAGGTAGATAACAACTTGCTAGTGTTCCATATGCTCATAGTAACTCTTGTTATTGTAGCTTCCTACACTGGAGTTCGCAGTTGTAATAAACAGCCTTTCTCCTAGTAGATGATGAAAGGAAAGGTCGTTCTTACTACAAAAAATTTTAGAGTATGAACGCTTAAAAAAAGTTCCACTGACAGAACAGTGAGCTACAAGTGGGCAAGATACAGATCATTTCAGCCCTTGGGACTTAGAATAAACAGTTCAAATCAGTAGGTAACACCCAGGAAATTTTAAAAAATTAGATCTGTTGGTGTTCTTAAATTGGTATAAGGTATTTGAAGAGTAATTTTGGAATGTCTGTAAAAATTTTTGACCCAGCCGTTTGGCTTCTAGGAGTTTTCCTGCAGATTATATACGTTTTTTAATGCCGTGTAACAAATCACCACAAATTTAGCTGTTTGAAACAACACATTTATTATCTCACAGTTACTGTAGGTCAGAAGTCCAGGCAGAGTGTGGCTGAATTCTCTGCTCAGGGTCTCCCTGAGCTGAAATCCAAGTGTCACCAGGGCTATGGTTCTCATCTGGAGCTTGGGGTCTTTTCTAAGCTCACCAGTTTTTGTCAGCCCTTATGACTGTAGGGTTAATGTTCATTGTTTTCCTGCTACCTGTTGGCTAGGGACTGCCCTCAGCTTCCAGAGATTGCTTGCAGTTCCTTGCCACCTGGCCCCCTAAGCAGTTCACAGTGTCAGTGTTGATGTTTACTTTTTTCCAGGCAGCTGGAATGCACCTCTCTGCCTTCCTCTTCTGTGATCAGCCAGCTAGGGAAAACCTTTTAGGTTTTTACCTGATTAGGTCAGGCTTACCTAGAAGAATCTTCCTTTTGTCCTAAGGATATGTAATCATAGGAGTCTCAACATATTCACAAATTCCAACGACTGAAAGTGACCATAGATTACACAATGCTGTAAGTCATTGCTGGTCATTTTAGAATTCTGCTTACCATACTGTATACTTGGAAAAAAACAATAGGATATGGATGTATAAGGATGTATGATAACAATTATAGTGTTAATTATAATAGCAAAAAAAAAAAAAGATAATTTATGGGCACCTGGGTGGCTCAGTTGATTAAGCAACTGTCTTTGGCTTAGGTCATGATCCTGGAATCCCGGGATCAAGTCCCACATCAGGCTCCCTGCTCAGTGGGGAGTCTGCTTCTCCCTCTGACCTCTCCCTTCTCATGCTCTCTCTCTCTGTCTCAAAAAAATAAAATAAAACAAATCTTTAAAAAAAAGATAATTTAAATATCAGAAAGGGACTGCTTGAATAATACATTTGAAAGATGTATTAATACATCTTCAAAAATAGAATGAAAGATGTTCATTTTACTGAGCTGTTCTATTCTATTGAAACTGTTGAAAGATCAAGGTGGACCTAGATGTACTAATGTCGACACATGTTAAAATACTTCGTTCAGTGACAGAAGCCATTTGCGGAACACGTATAATGTGATCTCCTATGTAAATTAAAAATATATAATGTGCAAAAAATAAAAAACCATAATTATTTGTAGGGAGTTGGGTCAGCAGGACTTGTACTTTTAATTTTATATCTTCCTGTGGTACTGCTGGAGTTATCTTTTATCACCACCATGTACTCCTATTATAATAAATTTTTCTTTTTATTTTTTTTAAGCTTTTATTTATTTATTTGACAGAGAGAGACATAGAGAGGGAACACAAGCAGGGGGAGTGGGAGAGGGAGAAGCAGACTTCCTGCCGTGCAGGGAACCCAATGCAAGTCTGGATCCCAGGACCCTGGGTTCATGACCTGAGCCGGAAGCAGGAGCTTAACTACTGAGCGACCCAGGCACTCCTATAATATATTTTTGAATTGGTAACTTCAAAATCACCTGAATGGGCCCCAAGCATTTAAAAGGCTTTTTAAAGCACAACAAATAATTGTGCTGCATGCTGCTGGTTTAGAACACCTGCTCCAGAGGCCTGGAAAGTGTCTTCTGTCATTTGAGAACCACTTCACCAAATAGTTTAAAAATTGGAAATATTTTGCACTGTTTTTATAAGGCAAATGCAGGGATATCACTCATTAAACTTCCTTTTCTTTACCTGGGAAAATTAAATAATGCATATCAAGGACCTGGAACAATTAGCATTTAACAGTAAATAAGTCATAAGAAAGCTGCCT